TATATATATATTCATATCTATATCTACCTATTCCATTTATTGGAGTCTCAGGAAAACTAACTTTTTGTGCTTAAATTGAAACTTCTTATAGTCACTTCCTTAACAATCTCTATCTTTTTCCAAATTTTCTTTCTTGTTCTGATTAGGGATTATATACAAGATGAAGGTAGCCAGGTGAACTGAGTCAATTAAGGAGTCAACGTGTATTTTATTTTTTACTCTCATCCATTTATTTTCCCGTTACCAACTCTCCTCTTCAACTCAGCACAGGCTGGGTTCATTTGGGGGTCCATGTCCCCAGCACCTTTATCAAAACATCACATTACCAGAACGCTAGAAGAATCCAGTCTCTTTGAGAATAATGACTGTCTTGACTTCTAAAACTATATATTATTTTATATTTTTATGAATCCTCTTATGTCTGGCTCAGTCCTCCTTCAATTCCTTAGATGTAGAAAATATATTAGGAACCTCAGCTACATCATCTCTCTCTCTCTCTCTCTCTCTCTCTCTCTCTCTCTCTCTCTTTCTCTTGCTGAAAATTATGATATAGCTAATAATTGTTACTACCAGACCCTGGCCTGCCCAGGAGGGACACACTACTAGAAAACAGAAATCAATCTGCAAGACAATCCTTAGAACTGCCTGGGGGGCTTCTAAATCTCTGGGAGAAGGAAAATGTACGCAGGTGAAACTGGTTCTAAGCAAAATGAAGCAGATCAAAGCCTAAGGAGCAAGTACTAATAGACCAAACAGACCTGTACCTCCTGAAAGAATGTAACTATTGAAGTGCCAAGTTGAAATAAGCAAACAGAAGCCACACTGGTGTTGAGAAAGGAGCAGAAAGGGATGCCCATTTCTGAGCATAGAAGTGGTTGTACTAGAGTCTAGACAAAGGTCAACTAGATGGAAGATAGTACAAATGTATAATCAAGTAATTGCTTCTGAACATTGGACTTGCCTTTATATGTATAGGTCATTCAAAGAACTGATATGGAAAGGTACTAAAAATACTGTGACTCCCGTGAGGTTATTACTGGAAATCTGAGAATCTTTTACCTCCTATTGGGAGGTCACAGTTACATGGCTCAGGAGAATATGTCACTCTTTCTTTCAAGACTGAATGGATTTGTCTTCTTCCCAATAAAGTTACAGATAAAGAAAACAGATAAAACAAACCCATAGATACCTTATCAGATATAATCAAATGAGAAGTGAGGGGTCAGGACTAGGGGGGTTTTCCTGAATCCTGAATGCCACAGGCTGCATTAGACTCCAAAGGCATATTCAGAATTATTACTCAAAGAAAAGAGGGGCAGACAGCTCCAATAAGAACTGAGGCATAACTTTACACCAGGGTGAATGGCTGAGAGCTAAAAGACAGACTTAATTTTGTTTGTTTTATATACGGAGGTGGAGCAAGCAGGAGGCTTGGTTGCCCTAGAGATGGAGGAAGCCAAGCTTCCTGCCTGCCCTGGCTGGCTGCGGCCTCCTCTAAAGGCAATAAAGTTTCAATTATAGAAGATAAATGAATCCCAGCCAGCCTCCACTGGGAGCTTGGGTGGCTGGGGGCCGTAGCCAGCCTGCAAACAGCCATCAGCCCCTCACCCAGGCTGGCCACACCCTCATGGGGTAAGAGTCCCTGCTGGGGGTCTTGGCCAGCCTGAAAACAGCCATCAGCCCCTCACCCAGGCTGGCCACACCCTCA